GGAAGGGGTGCATTTTTTAAATAAGTACAAATTAAGCTGCTTTCAATGTTCAAATCACTCAGTACGTCGTGCTAGTGTTATGTGAATGTGTTGTGAGAAGGTGCTTATTACCATATTTGAAGTTTGTTAAAATGACATTATAATATAATTTGTAATCACTTAATTATTATAGTATGCTTGTTAATGGTGATATTAGCGCAAAATTGTATTGCATAACTGCTGACTAAACGTGACTTTTTATGTTGAGGTATTGAAACATGGTTTTTCTTAGAGAAAACAAAGAAGGTTCGTTATTTATGCGTTGACCTTATATAAAATTTGCTCACCTCCTTTTCGACGATCTATCGATCTATAGCGAGCGGCTGGGATAGTGTGAGGAGAAAATGTAATTACGTTATACATCTCCCAGTTTGTTCCTTTGACACTAGACGTATCAGATTATGTCTGAACATGTATCTCGTAAATACATGCAGTCCTTTACGATGTCAAGAACAGACTAAAAGTCTGGGTCACTTTAATTCGACTTCTAGTACGGGAATTGGCGATATATTTCATGCGACAATTTGGCCAAATTTCCACACGTGCCTTATTCCGTTATACTTTAACCCTCGTTTGCAATTATTACTAAAGTCTTAAGATAAGTGATTGAAAATTACGCAAACAATGAAAAACTAATCATAGTATCTTTTGCACGGTTGTCTATGGGTATATATAAACATATGACGGGCATCGATTAAGTGTGTATAAAATTGTTTGGCAAACTAATTTTAATGTGAGTTGTTAAAGAAGCATTGTGCATGTTTTGTAAATTTCAACCACAAGACATTTGATTTTTTTTTGCTATTATTATTGCCATATTTACCAGTTTTTCAGTTTTTTTTTTTCAAAATCCCATCACCATATTTTTATCTGAAGAATCTATTTTAAACATTTGACAGTTTAATCCTGGTCACCCTGTATAAGCTTAGGTAGCAAGGTAGCGTTTTTGCATATTGAAAATAGAAATGGACACTTCTTGAAATCTTAATTATAATAATATTATATTTTGTTACTTATAATAATATTATTTTAACATTAATAATTTAAAAGTCACTCAATTATTGTTTATTAAAAATATTTAATTTTGAACTTTAATACAACACGCAACATGCCATGTCCTCTGCAAGAAACAGTAAAATTTTTTAAATGTTTTGGAGAGCTAACATTTCTATGTAGATAGAAAGAATATTCAAAATTTTTACAATGAGTTAGAAAAATAAAACTTTGATCGTTGGTAGAAAGATGTGAAATTTTGTATCGCCAGCTCCTGGACTACTGTGACGCCGTTTATGTTCGCAGACGAAAGTGGTGTTAAGCCAGACCTACTTTCCGAATTGATTGAGTGGGGAGTTTCTAAAGACCTGTCAGGAAGGCCAACAAACACGATAACTTTTCGGACCGCCTAGTTTTTGCAAGCTATATTTTTGTTGAGTTCGGCTTACGAGAGCAGACACCACGGTCCGAACGTACGAATGAAATCGGCCGGTTTAATTGAGTTTTAACTTAATTGCTCCTTCGCTAAAGTATGACAGAAGTTTACCGTCACATTTTTCAATTAAATTATGAACTCGACGACAGTAATATAATTATCTAGAAAACTTGTGAGAAAACACATCGAGCGAGGCGTTATTGAGTTACGTAATGCTCTCCAGCGGATCGGCAAAAAATAATTGAACGGTGTCCCGGGTCTTGGGTAGGGATTAAGTGCTTTTGTTCGACGGAATGTAATAACTAAGGCGGCCGCGGCGGGTTTAAAAAAAAATAAGGGCTGTTGCCGATTTCTGAAAATTGTAGTCTGTTTTTATAGAAAAACAAAAAAAGGTGAAATTCAAAAATTCAATATTTTACGCAAAAAGCATTCATCGAAGACAGTGCCAGATTAGTATTAAAGCGAAAGCTACAATTTAAAAGGGAGTAAGAAAATATCTCGGAAAAAAAAAAACAAATTTACCCATACTGAAAAAACACGTGAAAATTGTCATCAAGGCAATAAGGTTCCAATCTAATTTTCACCTTCAATAAGCGCTGACTATCAATCCGTATAACGTTCTGGTTGTACAATTTAACACACATATATTATGGACCTGTTTCAGTGATTTGTAGCTCTTATTGCTCAAGTGATATTCCTAGATTTCTACGCAAAAGCATTAAACATTCGAAATGTGTTACCGTGCGGGCCTTATAAATGCGCGCACGGTAACACATTTCGACAGGATTTAACCTGGTCCATTTTATTTACTTACAACTCGAATTGTTCTTTTTTGAGATACAAAAATATTTTGTATTCTACCATGACGATCCCAAAATATTGTTTCATACCTAAGTACCGATGCAAAGTTTGCAAAATAAACTATGTTTAATATTCTATTATGCAAATATTTAGTAAGGATCATAATTTCGTAATAGATTTTTTATTTTTGATCAATTAACACACTCAAAACTTGGTGTTTGTTTTCGATTTCAAATGCACTAATGTTTTCCAATTTGTTTTAAAAAGTATTACGAACGTTTTATTTGTGTTAAGCATGAGTTTATTTCGATTAACCTGTTTTTGCTCGAATGTATTGTTTGGTTTGGTTTGGTTGTCGTGAGTCAAGAAGCAGGTCATTTATGAATTTTTCAAATACATAAAAGCGGTTCCAAAATACTACTCTGTGCATTAGGTAGCATTCCAGATTTACCGAATTCTCCATTGTTATTAACCCTACTACTTGCATTCAAAAATTTCAGTCCTTTGTCTGAAAGTGGCACTTTGAATATTTTAGACTAAGGAGTGGAAAAAAGTGATTCGGGTGGCTTCCAAATATTTTACCCCCTATATTTTCAAAATGCAAATATGAAAACCATTAAAGAAGCTATCACAAAACTAATTTATTTTTTATTTATTTATTCATCACGCTTTCGGTCGGAGGCCCCTTCAAAAGTATCTGCATCACTGTCAGAGTCAATACAGATTCCATAAAAAAGCATATATTTTTTCTTATTATCCTTGACTTAAAATTAAATTTACTAGTTTTTGAACGTATAAAGCAAAATATTATTGGTTTAAGAATACAAGATTAGTGTAAAATGTCGAACTTTTCGTCATCTTGAAAAACTACAGTTATTTATTTATTTAGCGTATGGCATTACATGCAATGTATAATACAAGTACAGATCTAAGAACAATCACGAATGTAAAAAGATAAAAGCTATAATTCAATGTCAAGGTTTGTTATCCATTCCAATGCCGATGCAGATACCTCCATAAAGTCAAGCCAGCTTCCCGTGTATAAGCGTAAGGGACACTCGCTATGAATATGCTCTATGGCCTGTCTTGCTGCTCCACAGTCACATTCTGGTGATGGTTGGTGGTAGGTTGCTCCGACCAGCTCAAAATCAGATATTCTGCCCCTTTTGCGTAGGTCATCCTCTGATGCCGCATGGGTTTCCTGAAGAAGGACAACATCGGCGTTATTGTCAAGAAGAAATTTTGCGAGATACTCGCATTTGGGTCTACTAATTCCTTCTATATTCAGTTGGCAGATACGGACTGAAGATCCTAGTTTTTTTTGTCATGTGGCTCCGAAAGGAGCCTATTGGTTCGTTTTCGGTTTGCATGTGTGAATAGCCAGGAGATCCAATAGATAGTCTGGCAGCCAACTTTGTAGACTATTTAGCCGTGATAGCGATCACGTTGCCCAGGGTGCACCACGTGGAGGCTAGTCTACTTTGCACCCCAAAACTAACCAAAACTACAGTTAAATTGATCGATCAATTTATTTATTTTATTCAAATGTCCTGTTTCTGTAATGTAATGCAATATTTTTTCTACCAGTCAGCTAATAAACAATTCCTTGCTATTTGCGAAGACAATTATAGTTTAGTTGTTTGAATGGGGCCGTTTTCTGAGCAAGCTCTAAGCGATACGAAGATATTTTACTATTTCTTCAAAATTGTACATACAAAATTTGAAATAGTCAAGATTTTCAAGTATGTGTGATTTATCACCGAATTTAATTTAAAATAATATAACGTAAATAACATTTGCAAGCATGTTTTCTATAACTAATGTATTGATGATAGAAATAACATATAAAACTAGTAAAAGCTGTAGACTTCCATATTAGCGAAACATATCGGGTTATTCATGGAGTAGAAATTTTACTATATAGGGAAACTGTCGGCTTCGCAAAATTAACAGAATAGACTGTCCTCCACCACTGGATTTCTACTCCGAAATAAACAAAACTCGGCTTTATAAAAGTTGCGTTCCGATTTGAATTTATGGGCATTCGTTTAAGGAATTATGCAGTTTTTTATATTTTCTAAGGACTTGGTCGCGCCGCAGAATAAATAGGCATTTAATTTTAAAAGCTCGTAAAGTAAGTAAATTGGGGGTTGGGGTTATTCTTTGAAAACGTCTCAAATATAAGCAGATCGATCCCTCGCTTTCCCACTCGTGTTTTAGACCGTCGCAAGTAATAAAAAGGCTTTTTTGGAAGAAAAGGTAGGCTTGCGTGTTGTTATCTCAATATCCAGAGGGAGCGTAGTCGATAAAAACACCTCAGGGGGATAGTGTCCCGCTTTGTCGTCGTTTGAGGTTTCGGCTTTGCGATATATCGGTTCTAGTTGTGGACGTTCGACTGCTCGACGTCAGAGCGCATTCACATGGTCAAACTATTAAAAGATTTCACTACCTTAAAACAATGGATAAGTTGAAAGCCCGAACGTATTGCGTATTTATATCGTTCGCGATACAAATGACATTAGAGAAACTGTTCCTAAGTTGATTTTTTCATTTTTAACAAAACTATCCTAAAATAAGCTAAACCTATCTTTGCCTTTCATAAAATATTTAGTAGCAAAGAGTAATAAAATTATAAGTGTTGCCTCCATTATTATACTTATAGTTATTTCTTCAACGACTGATCTGCTTGGGGTGCTTCTTAATTTTGTAATCATTTTTATAAAATTTTCAGAATCTCTCACGAGATGGTTTGCCAACCTGAAAGCGAACGCTTCCGTTGTCGATCAAATAAATCAATGGAAAGCCATGCGCTTCAACAGCTATCTTGGGTCTACTGATTTATACCCTTCCGGTAAGTCCGCCATTAAGTAATATTTATTTTTAACTGCGATTAAAATAGTTTCGCACCAAACGATATACACGATTTTACAAGTTTAGGTTTTATGTTTGACTTTATTCAACAAATTCAATAGGGAAACAGCATATTAGAAGTGAGTTTATATTAGTTTATTTACGAGCTCTTGGCGTGTTTCTCATTTTTCACATCTAGAAAATTAATTAAAATTAAAATTTAAACCTATTGTTCCAGTATAATATAGCGTGACTGCCATATTACAACGCCCATAAGAGATATATTTTCGCATTCGGATGGACACCTACGTACTATATCAATTGTGTGGACATGTTCAAAAATATAAATTCACTTAATTGTAAAACTATATAAATTTTTTACTTCCAATTTAAATGAAATGTTTTTGATAACTGCGCTACTTTGAAATGTGAACCTCTTTTTTTGCGCGGCTCTTAGGCAATTTGCCAGCACATTAGCATTTAATGGGTAAAGTCCAGACAAACACAATAACACCCAAGGCTCTCAGTGGGAATCGAACCCACAAAATCTCCGGCAAGTTCGAGTTCGCAGTTCAACGCCTTACCGACCTAGCCATCCTCGGTTCCTGAAATGTCAACGTTTAATTTTAAAATGTTTACTTGTTCTAGGGTTAGAATGTTGCGTATATGGTTGTGATTTGTAAGGATTTGGTATAATTTTTTAATAACGACGGATGCCACTAACCTGTTGTTACGACTTATGTATTCGTTTCCGTCTTTATTTGTATCAGTTGGCTATTTATTGATCAGATTGATGGATACAAAAAACCGGAACATTTTGTTTTATACTGTAAATTTTTATGAGGGTGTACATTTTTAGTTTGTCATATTCACAACCAGATGTAAGTGAGTTTATTATATAGTGAAATAAAGTGCTTAAATGGTTTTTATTCTTTTAGGATTTTTTCCTATAATTAGGATTTGGTTTCCAATAGTTCAAATCCACTCACTTTTTAGCTTCACTATGTGTTAGGAAACAATTATGTACAGGGTGGTCCAAATTAGAGGGGTCTCTATGGGTTTAAGCATTTGCAGCATAGTTAACCGAAAACTAATATGCATGTTATGTGTTCAATTTTCGAGAGATGTCGAAAACTAAAAACCGCATCGTGATATGTAAAAGTCTTTCTGAGCTGCAGGGTGATTCTTAAAAATGTGTGTTTCTAAAAACCCTCTATAACTTTTTTATTTGTAAAGATAGAGATTTTTATTAAAAACATTTTTTGAAGATTTTTTAAGGGCAAATCTAGCTGTTTTACCGTTTTTTCTTAAGGCCGTTAGTTTACAAGATATAACACGACATGATAAAATGTTATATTGAAATTAACGAAAATCGACAGACTGCGCATATTTCCAGAGATATCGAGAAAGAAGGCAACCTAGCTCAAAAATATTTTTGAAGTTAAAACGTCATCTACAAGAATACGAATCCTTTACAAAATCGCGGCCTAGGCGTATAGAAGCCTAGCCAGATATGGAGAGTTGGAAGACCTAACGGTTCTGGGAGAAATAGAAATTAACCCGAATGCTTCCACCAGGGCCATGGAGAGAAACATAAGTTTTAGGCCCTATCGACGTGTACTTTGCAGGAGGTACCTAAATAAATGCCAAGAACACATCGATTTTGGCAGAAAAGTTATTTGGACAGATGAGGCAACGATTTCACCAGGTATAACTATATTACTGGAAACAGCAAAATCCCCTTATTATGTTGGAACAACCGAATCGGGGAAGGTTCAGTTTTAAGGTATGGGTAGGCATCTAGGACAAATTATTGGGCTATATATTTTTGATGGAAATTTAAATGCCCAAAGATACCAACAAATTCTAGAAGAGTAGGTAATTTCGTTTATCGACAATTTGCCACTTCAGTAAAATAATGAGCTTACTCCTCCTCACAATACACGAGAGATTACTAATTTGCTACATAATGTGTTTGCCGAAAACTGGATAGGAAATAAAGATTCAATATATTGGCCCTTTGCGACTTCTTTTTGTGGGGAAGAATCTCCTTGTATACATTAGAATATCCTTGGTATTTCGAAATCGCCCAACTACTAGAAGGAATTTGGAAGAGGCACTTAGTACTGCATTCAGGCAACTTCGTGCGGTAGAACTTCTCAATGCAGAAAATAGCGTCAAGAGAAGATTTAGGATATGTTTACAAGAAAACGAGCGTTTGTTTTAGAATTAAAGAAACTTGTTAGATGTAGATTTTAAGTTTTACATAGTTTAATTAATAAAAATTTAAAATTAAAAATTACTTTTAATAATTTTATTTCTTTTTATTTATTTTAGTATTGGCAATTATTATAAATTTGAAGTTAAAGTGCGAGGTTGCTGTGTCCCCTCGTAGCCAACTTGGTTTTGTATGAAAAAAAAACAATAAAATTTTATCTTCACATTATATATATATATATATATATATATATATATATATATATATATATATATATATATATATATATATATATCTACAGCGGCTACTATGGTAAATCTAAAAGTTGCAAGTATCTTTTAAACTGTTTTTTAAAAATAGGTGTATGGCACATCGTTAGACAGGAAATTTTATTAGAAACCTGATTTTTTAAAAAAATTGAGGGTATCCCATTTAAAGAAATATAACTTTGTGTGATATCTCGGGAACTAAAGGCTTTAAGACAAAACTGGTGAAACAGGTAGATTGCACTTCAAAAAATGTTTTGATGAAAATCTCTATCTTTACAAATAAAGAAGTTATAGAGGGTTTTTAGAAACGCTTTGACATATCATGATACGGTTTTTAGTTTTCGACTTCTCTCGAAAATCGAGCCTGCAACATGCAAATTAGTTTTTGGGCTAACTATGTTGCAAATGCTCAAAGTCATAGAGGCCCCTCGAATTTGGACCCTGTACATATGGTACGTATTTTTTTTTTTGCTATCTGTTTATTATGCATTGAAAAATAAAAAAAGGAAAATTTTGCTTTTATAAACTTAAGTACAAGCCATTATTATTTATTTTTCAGTTTTGTATGATTCTGTCCGAATAACCGACCAACGGGAATCGACCACTAATAGAGCTGTCGCTGTTTTTTATTTGCATTTTAATTTTGCTTCTAGTTGCATTTTACATTTTTGAAATAAAACGAAATTTATTAGGAAGAATTTTTAAGGGCCTCATTCAAATTTTCCTCCACATAACCACAGAAAATTAGTTAGTCCTGTAGGTATTGGTAACTATGTTTCCGATATCTGTTATACTGATTCTACAACTACCTTTTGATTAATTTGCTTTATGCCTTCTATATTATGATTTCTTCACTGTCTGTGTCACTTTAAGCGTGTCCTTTTTTCGTTCTGTGGTTACATCCATCGATTCCTCACATACTTGGGTGGTCCGAAAAAGTTAACATTCGCCATTTGTCTTTCCTTTAACCGCCAAATAAAATTGATAAAGACCATTTCGGATATTGTCAGTCTCTTTTGTTTATTGGTAGTCCGCCGGCACAAAACGATTTGACATTCCGACTCTCCAGGGGATCCACCTCCGATTATTAATTATCGCGGTAATGCACTCTACTTAATTGCTTCTGCCAATCAATACCGGCTTATAATTAATTCCAGGTATGCACGGGAGATCACTAGATTTAATTGCGGACGACAGTTGTTATCGTTATGTACGACTCCGGCGACCTCAGCCGAAATAGGCTCGGAATTTCCTTAATTCAACCTTAGGTATGCTTGTAACGATACGGTTCCGCTTGCTCTCTGCGTCTGTTTTGTCCTCTTATCTGAAAAGGTACGCAACAAGTGTGGTAATAGTATATTATGCAACAAGTGCGGTAAACGGCATTTTAGTCACGATTACTATACTTTTTCCACGACCGTTAGTTTTTGGCTACATTTCTGCAAAACATCACCAATACTTTCACTGACATGACCTCCAAATCTCCGAAAACATCCGATTGCCCCCAAACCCGTGCGGTAATATCCCGGAAATGTCCGAAGTGGCTCGGATCCGCGGGACAAGAAACTTACGAGATGGACGTATTTGTCCAAATGTTCATTTGTCCAAATCGTATCGGTGCGTTCGAGGATCGTTCGGGGCTGGGCGGGAGGGAGGCCGCAAAGCGTTTCCGTGGAGAACGAATTTTCCTCGATGGAGAATAATTATTAATTGTGTACATTACAATGTTTTTAAAATACAGTGACTCAGCTTACAAGATTCAGTTACATTTTAACCTATCATAAATGTGTTTGTTTAAAGGTTCTCAGTTATTTCAAATAAATCATTGCGGTCATAGTAAAATTGTATTTAGGTAAGGATTAACAAAAACGTGTGTCCAATTGTTCTCACAGCTAAAATTATTGATGATTCTTAAATTTATTTAATAAGCACTATGATTTGTCAATATCTTTATCCGATACTTCAGCTGCGACTATTTTGAGGATATGGTTGTCAATTAAAATACTTTGGATGATGCAAAAAATTAACCAGCTACCTAGCATACCCAAGATACCCAAAGATACCCAAAGATACCTATTTTAAAACGTCAAATTGTAAACTAAAAATTCCTTAGGTGCCAATAAAATACTTACCTACACCTTCATTGTAGTATGTTTAATAGAAGTTGTAAGTTTTTTTTAGCTTAAACAATAGCGTAAATTATTCTTTATATCATGTCCAGTAACCTCTACTTTATTTTGTAAACTGTTAATTTTTATGTTGTTTGTAAGTACATTGTATAGTGGAAACCACCTATATAGATAATTAACCAAAGTAAAATAATTTTTTCTACTCCCGTTTGTAAAATACCTAATTACACACCGATCTAGCGTACGCGAAGCATCACTTTATCACGTCAGTTTCGTTTCCCAGCCACTTCGGACATTTCCGGAATTTTACCGCACGGGTTTGAGAGCAATCGGATGATTTCGGAGATATTTTCCACGCCTTGAATTGGACGTTTGTCAATTCTGA